ACTTGTGGCTCCTAAAAGCACCATTTTTGTAGTGTGTACCACCCCCCAGTGGGCAAAAACTCTGTAGTAAACCCACAGCAAGCTTTAATCTTCAAAAATAAAGCTTATACATTTCACAGCAAGAACAGAGATCAAGATGTGTTTCTGGGTTGTTTTTCTTTTTCATCTCCCCTCTGTAACCCATACCTTAACGTTGAAAAATCCTGTGTAGGCAATGGTGACTAATCAAAGCAATTGCCAGAGTTTGCAAACTTTGCATTACAATTATTTGAAGTGGCTTCAGTTGGTAGATGGCCATCTTTGTCTAGCCTTGGAGCAGGAAACATTTATGCTAATGGCTAGTATTTCTGAAGCTTTTACTATCACTTCAAAGCACGAGAGCACACATAAGAATTAATCTATGATTGCTTAACATTTATTTTTAATAAGTGACCAAAAAAAACCTACTTAGGGCAGGCATCCTGAAAAGCATGCACATATTACATCACCACACAGTAAGATCTTCCTATTATTACCTATCAGAATTTACACAGTCTTACAGCTTCACTCTACTCAAAGTATTGTGTTATATTTCAAGAAGGAAATTTGGTAATCAGGAAAAAGATAACACAGTATTTTGGGATTAAAAAAAATATATATTGAGTTTTATGCAGTATCTGAGGGTTTTTTTTTTTTTTTTTTAAATATGCTTAACCTTTTGTTTCATTTCAACTTCAGTGCTAGGAGCTCTGTAGCAGGTACAATTCCACTTAAATTTGTCAAGAGAAAAGACAGATTTTTACCTTGAAACAATGGCAGCATTTGTTCTCTTTTTTTTTGTTTGTTTTGTTTTGGTTTTTGTTTATTTGTCTGGTTTGAGTATGGACCAAGTTACTTCATCAGCAACTCTCAAAAGACAAAGCCAGAGCTGGCTATGCTCAAAGAGCACTAAAACAAAAAACTTGCACCCCCTAATCCCCTGAAGTGCCTTTTTTTTTTAAAAAAAAAAAAAAGCTTAAGTAATCCATGTGCAACCTTCATTGTAGCAAGCAAAACAACCAAGTATAGAGTATGAAACATCTTTTCAACCCAATAATTTAAAAAGAGAGAAGATTTAAAAAAAAAAAAAAAAACTTCAGGAAATAAGTTGAAGAATTCTCAGTTCATCTGCATTCTTCTACAGCAAATACTGACTCTACTCATTTTTATGCTGTACAAGAAAGGCATAAAGTTAAGCTTTTACTCACAATCCATTTCTAATTAAGAGTAAATTGGGAGGGGGGGCAGGGAACACATCAAATTTTTCATTTTTGTTTTAAAGACACAAAATTACAAAGGGCAAAAGCAATATTACATTCAGTTACTACCCAGAAAGAGCGTAAAGAAAAATAATCAAAATAGAGCGTTCCACAAGTGAAAATGAAATCTTTTTCTGAGGGGAAAAAAGAGCCAAATTCCAGCAGCAGCAGCACAGAGGCACCCTAATCTGAAAAGCTCATAGCACTTTTAACAAAAACCTCTACATTCTTTAGCCCTCATAAAGACAGTTTGAGGGCCTTCTGCTTGCCTAACACTTAACAAAAGCTTGGGGCACCTTCCTGAAATATGATGATCGTGGAAATTTCAGCTTCTAGACAGGGTGCTTAGAAAGCATTCTGCTGTCACTATCGACTAGCCCCAAGTAATACGCTTAAGAAAACAAAGCATCTGCCTTGTTTTAAGTACAGTTTAGTGCTGGGGACCTGCTTGAGAAACTCTGTGAAGCGCTCTGTGAAGAGGAACTGTGACCTTTGTGAACTGGATGGGCAGTGAATACAGTAGATACTTTAGTATATTAGAAGATTATAAACACATTTTTGAATTTCTGATGCCTTTCGGATTCTAAAAAATGTGGACATAATACTGCAATAAAATTATTTTTTATAATAAAGTACACTGATTAAACACAGTTAGGATGCTTATGAAATATAGATTTTCTAATATTAATTTAATTCCAAAAGTTATTCTTGTCATTTATAACCTAGAAATATTGGCTGACAAATTTTCTCCCTTCCCCTTGTTAGTTTGAGTGATAGGTAGATACAAGCCAGTGTTTTTCACAGCTGCCATAATTCCTGTCAGAGAACACAGAGATATATTAGAAATTCAAATAAGCTTTATGGGGCCTAAACTCGGGCAGCTCTTCATTTTCCTCATTTTGTTATCATATCTTGGAAAGAAAAGATCTTTTTAGCACCATTTGCAGAAAAATTTTGGCTTTCCCAATGCGCTAACACTCCTTGTCGTTGCTGCTTATGCACTGGACAGCTGGCTCCCATATGTTATAATAAATGCTAAGGTCTTCTGCAGTTCATTTTTCTTGGATAGTGCAAATTACCTTGAACATTTTTTAAAAAACGTGCCCCTGCTTAGCTATGCTACAGCGATAAGAACAGGTCTTGCGTGTTGCCCATCTGCGGTGCTTGCTTGCACAGTGTCCCAGGAAAAGTAATTTAACCGTGCAGTTCAGCAAACCCCATGAAAATAGTCAACTCAGAGTAAAGATAAGCACAAAAGCTGATGCTCAGTTGCTCACACATTACTGCTGTTAAGAGAAAAAAAAACACTTTTACATTCAAAAATGAACTTCAACACCTACTTTCTAAAACTTATCTTTTTCTGCTCTGTTCAGAATTAATGGGTCCTTTCAAAACCACATATCCATGAAGCTTCTCAGTTCGATGTTGTGGAAACCTGGACACAGTGTCTGGACCCAGTGGGGGTCACTTTCCTTTTCATCCTGTGGGATCAACTATAATGACTTGGTGTCAGGGAATATGCAGAGACAGCTCCAGAGGAGGAAAGTTGGAGCACGGCAGCAGGATTCCCTTCTTCTCTGTAGACAGATCACTGCAGCCTTTGATATGCAAAAACACTGTTTTCAGCTATGGGCCCAGATAAAATGTGCAATATATCAAACAATCAAAACCTCAAGAAAACTCTTCTTTTTAGAAAGAGAGTGGGGGGTATGGACTTAATCCACATTTTTGAAACAGTGTCATCTTCTCCAAAGAGACCTGCTTTTATTTTTCTTTCTTGTTTTCACATAATTTTGAGAGAAGGGATTAAAAAAAAATCCAGGAACTTAATGAGCTTTAGTGCTTTCATTTTAATCCTACCTTTCCACTAATACAATACTGGCAATAAATGAAGGGTTGCCTGTGAAACAGAGTAAAGAGGAAACAGTTTGTAATCTCAGAAAGTAAAACAAATGCATTTGATTTCTTGAGTGTAAGATGGATGCATATGAGAGCTTCTGTTTTGCTTAGAACATTTTTTACAGTCTACTTCTAAAAGCTTTAAAAGTTCTGAAGAAGAGCAATTTAATGGATTCTTTTAAATAAATTCTTAAAAGTTTTTGTAGCATTCAAAAGCCTATTTAACAGCCAATTTATATTCCTACTCCACAGCGTGTTTCCAGAAAATACCCTCCTTTACAACTTAAAAGAAGTTCCAAAGAGATACCTCTTTTTAAATGTTTTAGGAGTGGATTCTGGACTTTTTTTTTCCATAACATTTTAGTAATGGGACTTTTTTTATTTAATGGTTACCTTTCTTTTACCAAAAAAATGAAAATAATTTGCATTTATGTCACAATAATTTTGTGCCAGTTTTGTATCACTCCAATTGCTGTAGGAGTATTACAGATCTACCCAACCAGGAGTTCATGCTGCTTGCTTGAAATAGCAAAAGACCATTTTAAAACAGAGACTGTGTTTAAGTCAGTACTTTATGATGGTCTGGAAGCAACTCTCTAGTTGTGCTCGTATTATAGTAGCTAAACAAGTACAAATGAGTATGCAATTTCTTTATAGCATTTTAATTCTATCGATCATGCTTAGTTTATTGGACTACACAATTATGAGAGGAAGAAACAAATGTTAAGGCTTTTTTATGTCAGGTTCAACCTTTTCTGTTTCAGACAAGATACGACTCACATGCTCTTAAGGAGCATACACTTGGTACCTCATTGGATGCCTCTTCGCAATAGTGATATGAAATATTCTATATTAAAATGCACCTTGGAAAGGAGGGAGAAAGGAGAAGATAGCAAAAGTGCAACAACACGAGACTCGACAGCATAACATGCACTACCAAACAGCTGTTTTGCTGAATTACCAATACTTGTAGAAAAAAAAAGCGCTAGTTATATGTAATAAGCATAGCTCAGTTTATATAAGGATGCAACACAGAGCGAGTACTCATGTCTACCAGGTATTAATTGCATTTTCTTTTTTTTTTTTTTTTTTTTACCTTCACAGGAAAATCACAATTCAAGAGAAGCTTTAGAAGCAGAGCTTTCTTGGAAATAATATACGTGTTTCTTATGAAGAAAACCATCTGAATTTAAAAAAACATTTCTACAGTAAAATAACTTGCATTCTTTTGCAAGGAGGAAATTCTTTCTGCTTTAGAAATTCTGAAGAAGTATCAAAAAGAGAAAGTTGGAAAACTGTTCTTTTAAGAAGGTGTGGATATATCAGGATGTAGCTATTGTACAAACTTTATACTTGGATAATTTTGGACAGAAAAAACACCCTGTTCCTGATCTCCTAAAGAGGCTACCATCATTCAAGCCTCAGCATAATGAATAGTTTCCATTATGTGGAGCTGAAATTACCACCTCTGACTACTACACTACAGAGAAGAGTTTGTGAGAAGTACAAAGAAAGTTATTCCCGTTAAAAGCATTAAACCAAACAAAAGAGTCTCTTCATTCACAGACCTTATATGAAGACAAAAACAGAAGTCTCATTGCGGCCCAGTGACAGGAAGTTGAAGCTTTTCTGCTCCATGGCCTGGTGTGCTTATGTACCATGGTAAATCTTTGCTGGAATGTTCACTGAACATAGTGCCAGGAGGCTGGAAACAAACCTACACCAGCGAGGATCCTTTGAGTAAAGAGAGTCAAGAAGACACAACTGCATGGAATAAACCACACAAAAGTGACTCACGGGGAAAGAAATTTCACTTATTGGATATCCTCAAGCACAACATTTACTCATACTTTTAAATACGGTAGGATCAATATTAATTTATTTTCCTTTTCATGCCTCAGAGAATAAAGTTCAATTAATAAGTGAACCCACAAGACAGGTCATAACATCACATAATGTACAGGTCATCTTACCGAAGTTCTCACAGCCATAATTATGATAGTAATTGAATTATGTTGTCTTAAAAGCTACAAAAATGCTAATTACTTGAGCTGAATGTACAAACACAGTACCAAAGCACAGTCTAATTTCAGTCTCAGGAGTTAATTCTTATTATTCTACCTTGCACAGTTTGAACTAATAAGATGTGAAAGTATGGTTAAACCTGTCAAATAGTCTCTTAAGAGTACTGCTTAGTAAGAAGAGTTTTGAGAATGACAAATATTTAAATAGGAATTTCAGCATGTAATGAAGTATTCCATGCAGTCAACTAAAAAGCCATAGCTCTAATAGCGATGCCAACTTTGAAGTTACCAACTGTTTCCTCGCCTTCCTGAATATTCCAGTTTCAGAAACAAGACTGAAAGCTCTAGCATATGTGAAATAACCAAGGAGACCCTGAGCTCTCAAAACCTCTAAGACGCTTTATCTGGTCTGTGTTCTTTTGTTTGTATTCTCTGCTTAGTAACTAATTACCCTTAGGACTCTTCTGAACCTACCACAGTGCTTCTGGGCTCAGGAAGGGTTTTATGGCTCACATAGATAGTTGGCTGTCTTGGGAATTATTTTTTACATTTCAGATGTAGAATGGTTCACTTGGACTTCGCCTTTAGCTCTGTACTCACTCCATTCTCAGAAAATCCACAACATGATTTTAAATTGACATCTGAGAACAAAGATCATCTCTAGACATGAAATGTGGGGCTCTTTAGATAGAAAGTGCCTTCTCGATTAAATAGACCAACTCTCAGATCAGACACAGTCGACTATATTGTTTAAAATTATTTCACATTACAGCATAATCTGTAAATCCAATTGCGTTAGTACAGGCAGAAGTACAGTTACTGATGTAAGAAAAAAAGCATGATGTGTTTACACGCTTGAATTTTAGCTTCATGTGTTTCACCTGTCTTCTGTAATTTTGAATTGTCATTGCAGTTTCTGTAATAATGATCTGGATAATTTTGTTTGGTTTTTTAGATTGTTGAAGATCAGAACTGTATACAAATCTCATCATTCCTGACCATGATTAGTGTAACCTGGAACATCTTCCTAATTTGGACTAAAATAGGGCTGTTACTTGACATGGCACCTTATTCTGTCAGTGCCAAACCCTGCCCTTCAGTTTGTCGCTGTGATGTGGGTTTCATATATTGTAATGATCGCGATTTGACATCTATTCCTACAGGAATCCCAGAGGATGCTACTACCCTCTTCCTTCAGAACAATCAAATAAATAATGCTGGGATTCCTTCAGAACTGAAGAACTTGCTTAGGGTGGAAAGAATATATTTATATCACAACAGCTTAGATGAATTCCCTACCAACCTCCCTAAGTATGTTAAAGAACTGCATTTGCAGGAAAATAATATAAGGACCATTACTTATGATTCACTTTCCAAAATTCCTTATTTGGAAGAACTGCATTTGGATGATAATTCAGTTTCCGCTGTTAGCATCGAAGATGGAGCTTTCCGGGACAACATATATCTCCGACTTCTTTTTCTCTCTCGAAATCACCTTAGCACCATTCCCTGGGGTTTGCCTAAAACCATAGAAGAGCTACGCTTGGATGATAATCGTATTTCCACAATTTCAGAGCTGTCCCTTCAAGACCTTACAAATCTGAAACGCCTCGTTTTAGATGGAAATCTTTTAAATAATCATGGATTAGGAGACAAAGTCTTCATGAATTTAGTCAATCTTACAGAACTGTCATTGGTCCGCAATTCCCTTACAGCCGCACCAGTAAATTTACCCGGAACAAATCTAAGAAAGCTTTATCTGCAAGAAAACCACATAAATCGCGTGCCACCTAATGCCTTCTCTTATCTAAGGCAATTGTATCGATTAGATATGTCCAATAACAACCTCAGCAATTTACCTCAGGGTGTCTTTGACGATCTGGACAACATCACTCAGTTGTTTCTCCGCAACAACCCATGGCACTGTGGGTGCAAAATGAAATGGGTTCGTGACTGGCTGCAGTCACTGCCTTTAAAGGTTAACGTACGCGGACTGATGTGTCAGGCACCAGAAAAAGTACGTGGAATGGCTATCAAAGACCTCAACGCTGAACTCTTTGATTGTAAGGACGACAGTATAATAAGCACCATCCAAATCACTACCGCAGTACCAAACACGCTCTATCCGGCCCAAGGACACTGGCCGCTTTCTGTGACCAAACAGCCAGACATAAAAACTCCCAATCTTAATAAGAACTACAGAACCACAGCGAGCCCAGTACACAAAATCATTACAATATTTGTGAAATCTGTAAGTACGGAGACTATTCATATCTCTTGGAAGGTTGCACTACCAATGACAGCATTAAGGCTGAGCTGGCTCAAGATGGGTCATAGCCCTGCCTTTGGATCTATAACTGAAACCATAGTTACAGGGGACAGAAGTGACTACTTGCTCACAGCCCTGGAACCGGAATCGCCGTACCGGGTATGTATGGTTCCGATGGAGACCAGCAACACCTACCTATCAGATGAAACTCCTGAATGCATCGAGACCGAAACAGCGCCCCTTAAAATGTACAATCCTACAACCACCCTGAACCGAGAGCAAGAGAAAGAACCTTACAAAAACTCCACTTTACCTCTGGCCGCCATCATCGGCGGTGCGGTGGCCCTGGTGGCCATCGCGCTGCTGGCACTGGTGTGCTGGTACGTGCACAGGAACGGATCCCTGTTCCCGTGGAACTGTGCGTACAGCAAGGGCCGCAGGAGAAAGGACGACTACGCGGAAGCGGGGACTAAGAAGGATAACTCCATCCTGGAAATCAGGGAGACTTCTTTTCAGATGATACCCATCAACAGTGACCAGGTGTCCAAGGAGGAGTTTGTAATACACACCATATTCCCGCCTAATGGAATGAATCTGTACAAGAACAGCCACAGTGAAAGCAGTAGTAACAGGAGCTACAGGGACAGTGGTATTCCAGATTCAGATCATTCACACTCATGATACTGAAGTAAATGAAAGACTGATGTGATTTTTTTAAACAGGAAAAGACTGACTTTAAGGGTTACTGTTCTACTGCAAAACACTGGATTAGAGAACTGACAAAGCAATGTACTGTACATTTGCCATATAATTTATATTTAAGAACTTTTTATTAAAAGTTTCAAATTTCAGGCTACTGCTGCGATTAATGTAGTGGGGATACCTGACCACAATTCTATATTTTAGTATTTTTTAGTAATTTGTACTGTATTTTCCTTGCTAATATTGAAGTTACAGACCATTTAACTTTTGTGTTCTACTGAGTAAGATGACTTGTTGACTGTGAAAGTGAATTTTCTTGCCGTGTTGAGCAGTCAGAACATTCATCCAAGATCCTTGTAAGTGTAAGCACAGGCCGTTTTTCACTTTGGTAATAATAAAATAACATTAAACCTGGAAAACCAAGAAGATGAAGAAGTGGTTGCAAAAACTCAGAGACTATAATGTTGGGTCTATTAAAGCTGTAAACCACAATATTCAATAAACAAAAGTGTGTGTAGTAATGGGCAATATCAGCTGTCTGGATATATCCATTCTATAGTAGTGAGATCCAGTTTAAAAGATAATCATCAAGCCAGTTATATGCATGAGACAAGATATTGATGAGTGAAAAAAGAAACTAGAAACACACTAGGTTCCCACAAACTAAGAGGGTAGATACAGTTCAGGCTTAGATTTCCGGTTACCAAACCCAGGTGTCTGCTTATTGTAGAAAAAAACAATGCAGGATGATCCCAGGCCTTTGGGAGGCAAGGACAGGAGGACTAACAAGGAAAACACTCGAAAAGAGCTGGGAACAGGAGAAGTATAGCAAACACATAAGGAAAAAAAATGAGGACAGAGACAGGCAATACAGTCAAGATCCCAAAAGAATTTAGTCCTGAAAGTAATCGGTATAAATTCTAACTGTGGAAATACAGCAGTATTTTAAGGCACACGTACTCAAACGCAGTACACACATGCTTATTAAAAGTGCTATCATTACAGTCAGGAATACTGCCCATTACTGTCACAATTTTCCAGAAATAAATCTGTAAGGTAAAACGTTTCTTTCTGGCTTCCTACTGAACTATGAGCTACTCTTGTTTAAACTCCAAGCCACTTTGTTGCCATCATCATTTATTTCTTCACCTAGAAACCAAAGTGCTTTGTACGCCCTTTGGCCAGTCTTGTATGTGCCTTGATCCAACGCTATGTGTATCCAGCTTGCTTATTTTTTTTTTTTTAAGGAAAAAGAAAAAATAAAACACCCCCTTTTTCATACCTAAGTTAAATATGAAAAATATTGGTCTTATTCATGAATAAAGTTGAAAAAAATAGTACAGAATAATGTGTTTTGCTTTCCCTGATGTGCACTAATGCAGCTAGGGTATTAAACATGTGGGCCAGGCACCTGCAGTACACCAAGAGGAAATCTGCTCCAGAGCTATGGCTTTCCACGCCGTCAGCTTTGCCTATTTCTTTTTTATGCTTTCAGGTTTTTCTTTTTTAATTGCAATTATTTACTGCACAAATAAGTTGTCACAACTTCGAAGTGTATCAACAACGAAAGGGAGCAAAGCTATGGAGTTACAACTGGCAGATATAACGGAGTCTTTCAACTACGGCAAGAAAAAGAGTGATCTACAAATACTTAATATCTTGGACTACACTTCTGACAGACAAAGAATGTATACACAGTGCAATTCAACTTCTTTTAAACGAATTTTAGTAATGCCTGGGCTGTCCATTTCCACAAAAGTAGCATGGAATGTAAGACAAAAAAAAAGGGAGTTACAAATACTGAGATCGATGACTTTGACAGGGAAGCGCCCTCCTCCCAGGGAGCCACCCAGCCACGCAGCCTCTGAATTTCCACGCTGACCATTTCTCCCCAAACCTCCCATGTCACGGGACAGCCTCCTCAACCTCCCCTTGCCAAGACTGCGATTCCCAAGCAGTGCAGGAGGGCCAGGCTACACCCCGGAGCAGCTCTGCGCTTTGCCGCTGGCCTCACGTAAACACATCACCTGCAGCTGCAGCGCTGACCAGATTCAGGGCATCGAAAGCAACAGGGGGCACCTCACTAAATGGTTATGTGCACACTTCTGTGAATACACTAAGCAAGACTATTTTACTGTGTTTTTCCCTCAAAAATCGAATCTAGAGAGCAGTGAGAAAGCCAAGAAGAAGCCTGTGGAGCCTCATTATGTTCTTCTGCAAAAAGCTTCCTGCACAGTTAAGAGGAATGAAAGCCAACACAAACGGAGGAGACAGACTGGTTTTTCTTCACATAAACCAGCACAGAGGGAAACTTCTTTGTGAGATCCGGTCTATGGCAGGGTCATTGGCAATAGAGCCTTCTTTTGCCATCAGCCCTCCAATAGCAAAAGTAAACTGGTCTTGCTGCATTATCAAACTTTGGGGAGGATTTCACAGAAAATTGACTCCAAATTTCTGTTGTGGAAAGGGCAAAGGAAAACTCCGTGATTATCACCCCAAGGTAGCCTAGTAATGGTGCATCAGAGGATTCCAGTGAGGTGGTTGTATGGGCTATAAAATTTCCCATTTGGGAAAAGGAAATTTGAGTGTGAATCTTAAGTACAGGAACATTTTCAAGTCACATTTATGTACTATGAGCCAATAGTATGCAAATACAGCATGACTCCAAGCAATTGGCCTAGACATCTTAGGTTTATTTCCACCAAAGGGGTGAAAAACTGCATAAATGGTCCTATCCTCTGTGGAAAACCAGGCAAGGTTTACAGGGAGAGGTGGTATCTTCCTGATCCTGTTGATATCATTGCAAAAAACCTGGCACCTTCACGCATGCAAAATCTTCCTCAGGTTCTACAGCAACTTTTAAAGAACAGGCATTGTATTAAAGTGGCAAGTGGAAGATTACTTCCCAACTAGAGTAAATGCATCTTGTTTTTCTTCTAATATTTACACAAATTTCCATGCCATGTTATATGTCTGTCTCTTCATGACTCTTCTGCTAATCGTGGCACCGCAGCTTTATTAGGCAATGCTCTCCCGCACCGTGCGGAAATCCATTCTTTCAGACAGTGGTTATGTATTTGGACGAATCACACTGAGACAATCACATCGAGCAATTTACTCGCATATATCAAAATAAAATTAATCCACATCAAATTTCTCTGAATCTTCTATTTCCCTGTTATTTCCATGTGCTGTTAAATGCTTAATTTTATATATAAAGGAGTGGATATTTTTCCACCAATATAGCCTAAACATACGTGCAAATTTAATTTAATCAGCATTTTCCATATAAAACTGTTATGCCAAGTACCTCTTACATTCCTTTTTTTATTGACAATCCTTTCCTGAATTGCTCAGTGTGCTGTTTAACCCAAAAGTTGACCCCCCAAAAAACCCAATACTTTGGAAATCATGTTCATTTTGTCTCTAACGTCCATGACTAAAACTGCTTCATTTCTAAGCTCTTGTTTCCTGTCATTTCCTAGCTTTGTACAAGAGCCTGAAATGCAACAACTGCCTTCTTTTCTCATTGCTCCACCAGCATCAAAATATTTTGGTTCTGGGACGGAGCTACCAGGTCTAGCGGTACTCCCCAAGTTAGCTTGTGAGCTGTGTTCTGCCAATGCTGAACAGACTGAATGTAGAGCAGCAAAACCAATAAAAAAAGCAAAACTAATAAAGCCTGACTTCTTAGATAATTTACTAAAGAGCTAACACTAGCACTTGTACATAGAACTCTGTGCTGAAAAAGACAACAATTTTCCAAACTCACCTCAGACAAAGTTGGAAAAGATAGTCAAAGGTGAAGCAGCAAATGCCATTTGCCTGGATTTCATAGAACTATAGAATGGTTGAGATTGGAAGGGACCTCTAGAGATCATCTAGTCCAAACCCCCCGCTCCAGCAGGGACAACCTAGAGCACGTGGCACAGAGTCGCATCCAGGCATGGTTTGAAGATCTGCAAAGTTTGGGTCAGTTTGGGATGAAAGCAGAATGGCACAGAGAGCTCCTATTTTAACAACAGCTTAACATCCCTTGCAAATCCATATAGACACCCCACAATTTAGTGTTTCAGCAGCACCTTAGGAAATTTTTTTTTAAATTAATTGTTTCTTCACAGAGAAGATTTTGGACCACAGTTGTTTTAGAACTTTTTAGACACACATGCATTTGATATTCGTTCAAGAGCCTTTTGAACAAATCGTGTTCTGCTCCCCACCAAATTAAAAGCACTGAGCACATGGATCCCAATAAAACAGCAAGAAAGCCTCTAGTTCAGAGCAAGGATCACAGGCATCTGCCACCAGGCACAACAGGCCCCTGCTCGCGTTAACGCTGTGGTTAAACCCTCACTATGGATCATTCCATCCATACTATGGAGCACCAAAGCACCTCAACAAAATTGGTTACAAATATAGAAAGAGCAAGTGCAAAACCTTTGTGACCCTTTGGGTTTTCTCAGAATGAAAATAGGATGGGATCAATGTACAATCCCTTTGACACCATATTGCTACAACACGAGTGGAAAGTACTTTTTTTTTTTTTTTTTTTTACTTAATTGGAACCTGAACTTTATAGCTCAATAGGAGCACTAATAAGTAAGTAGTAAGAAGAAATGTTTTAATAGGGCTAAATTAAGGCAGAAAGATGCATTCCTATACATTGATACTCTGTGCTGAGCAGCCCTCAAGCAATGAAAAAAAAAGAAAAAAAAATCATAGCCAAGTGCTAGCATACGCTCCTACCTTTCAGTTTTCTGAACCTAGGAAGTATCTAGAGACGCAGGTACAGAAGGATTAACTGTTCCAAACTGAGGGATCGCTTAATGCTGTTTAATCATTAAATACGGGAAAGATCACTTAGAGAACTCCAAAGGGGATATATAATGTATAATTTAAGCAAACTAATAAAATATTAATAAGATAGAAATACGCATTCAATTTATGTAATTCCAATTTCCTCCAGTGGTGTTAGCCTCTGATAAATACCTACTATGTAACTAGATTTTTAGGTGAAATTGAGTGCTAAGAGGTGTGTTGGTCTTGAGTTTTATTTTTATTTTATTTTTTATTTTTTTTTAAAGGAACAGAGGCATAAGTCATTTTACTCCAAAGCTTCCAATTTTTGTCAAATATAAAAGTGTATTGGTTGGCACAATTTTAACCTCATGTCTACCCTCTTCAGCACTACTTATGGCAGGCTCTGATGGTTAAGGTAGCACCCCATAAACTTTCCCATCTCTTCTTACAATAATGCTTTACAGGATTTAACTTAAAGTCTTGCTTTTATTAGAAGATTTGCACTAGAGAGTAATTGCCCCAGTTTTCACCATTATAGGATCCTATGTAAAATTCAGGAGGGCAAGGGAGCCCTAGAAAGCCTCTTTACCTTGCACTTCATCGTATGCTGCAGCTCTGCCTGTGTCCCAGGAACGTGGATGCTATCCAAAGGAAGGGGATTTTAAAAGTTGCTTTATAACTATTGCTCCAGAATGATATCCCAAAACTCAGCCTTTACAAGCCCTATAGCGTTTTAAATGTTGGTTATTCTATTACACGCTCACCTCCTATTTAAATTACATTCACGACAGAGAAACGTTTTTTGCATTGCAATCCCCTAATAAGAA